TGTGTGTGTGTGTGTGTGTGTGTGCGTGTGTGTGTGTGTTATTTAATGTAACTCACCCACTTTTAGACTGATTGTGCTCTTCAGTGGTTGGGGGAGGGCAGAAACAGAGGCCAGACAGTCCACGTGAGAACTTTTTGCTGCCAGCACACTGAGGTTGCTGGTCAAGGTGAAGAGGCTCTCCTTCGACTCTTCACTGCTGATGTTGTATTCACTTGGACTCACCTCCGCACCGTTCCCCCGAGACAGAGAGGACCATTATTATTTATAGTTTAACATGCTTATTAATTTTAATGTTTACAGTCTTGTTTGTTCAGTAAGCACCCTGAATATAACCTGTTTTAAGGGACATTTAACCAGTGAATGTGTGCTGTATAGACAGATTTGTGCCCACTTCAGAATAAACTAGAGAAACTGAGCAGTTTGAAGGTGACCAGTGTGTCTCAGATTTGTCATCAGAGGAGGCAACTGCACTGTCTCATTCCCTCCCTCAACGGAGGGAGTGTGTAATTAGTTTAGTTTGTCTGTCTTTTTGTGTTTTTTCAGATGCAGGGTTTCAGATTCAGATCGTTTTTAAATTTTGTACAATGATAGACGTCAGTAACAGCTCAAGCTAATAGATTTTTGGTGAAAATTGGGTCAAGGTCACACCAAATGTTAAAATCAATAAAAACATACTATATTACCCAGAATGTTTTATGGATCATCTTCAAAGTTTACAAAAGTATACTAGGCATTGGGGGACATGGAAACTTATATTGGCTAAGCATTTGACCTTGGCCTTGCTGAGTGCTCATGTATAGAAAATAAAGATATAGATTTCGAGGCCACATTTTACTACACCAAGTGTGTAAAATGCTATTGCATGCTCACATTTTACATTTCCCACATTGTTATTCATTTATTATCCCACAACACTTCATTCCAGGCCATTTTCTTTTCCAGATATGCTGCTGCTATACTCATTGCCAAAGCCTCTGGCCTCTTACGGTGACATGTGGTGTAGAAAAGGACCTAAATGTTAACTTCAAATGCAGAACTTAACAAAAAAAAAAAAACAACCTTTATTCAGCTGGAGTATAAGTCCATAAAACTCTAAAACAGAAAAGAAACTGCTAAATCCAAAGAAGCACAACAAGGCTAGAAGTGAAGGTGATCAGAAAAAGAGAGACAGAGACTATAAATACACAGAGGGGTGAATGGGGCAGAGTGAGACACCTGGGAGACACAGCTGAAACTAAATCAGACAACAACACATGGGGGCGTCAGACAAAAACACAGCACCAGAGACAAACGACTATCAAAATGATAGAATATAAACAGCTTGACAACAGCATACAGGAAACACAGGGGTAAATAAATTGAAAATTCAAGAAGTTAATCACAAGTCCTCCTCATTGTTCCCACATTTCTGTTCATTCAGAGCATGCGCGTCTTTCCAATTGGAAAGTCAGAGGATCCGTAAGCTGGAATTCAGATCTCAGTCTGTAAGTTTGGTTTGCAAGAATCATCAGTTGAAAAACTAGAAAATGACAAATAACCTGGTAGGCCAAGGAGCGTGATTCCTTTTATAGACTAGAAAATGTAATCACATAGTGTCTGATCAGTCGAACACAGGGATGGCTGTGTTGTGGCTTGGCATTTATTGATTTATTCACTGCAGACAAAAGCAACAGGATGAGGGCAGATGTATCTCACAGCATTTGTGTTGTTGGGTTCAGCCAAATGCATCAGAACTCACTGCACAACATTTCATCAGTCAGCACATCCTAAAGACACGCTGTAGAGCTCTTTAAGGTGAAAGAGGGGAATATCCTTGATTGAGTCCATTATCTGGTCTCTTGCACAAGGTCTGCAGATTTATGGGTCAAACATTTCAGGAAGTCACTAAGTGCAAAGCATTTTACAGAAGAAATCTAATCTGATGAGTTTCTTTGATTTAATTTGCCCCTTTTGAAATTCTACATTTGAGGCACTATATGTTTGTGATGTTAACTACATAAACCAACCTGAATTTAAGTCTTTATATTTTAGAGACAGCCAAAACAGACTTTTTGGGGGAAAATGGCAAAAAAAATTATTTCCTTTGTTCCTTCTGATTGCCTGGAGTTCTGGTTACGGTCATCACTAATGATAACTTAGACCTCAGAGGGTTAATGTAGTAGCTATGATTTTATTACTCAAGTAATAGAATAAAGTACTTAACAGTCCCTTTATAGTACCAGATATACTGGCTGCACTGCCTGAGGGTATAGCTGGATATACTACAGGCTGAATAGTAAGAAAAACAAGTTTTAGTTCCGGTGTTTGTTAAAGATAGTGATGATCTTGTCTGATTGAGTTTATGTATTTACCTCTTTATTATTCACCTCCCATTTCAGAACAGGCTCAGGGTGCCATCCTGCTGCTTCACATTTAAACAGGACTGAATCTCGCTGAAAAGCCAACCTGTTATTCCCAAGGATTTTCACACTGCCCTTTTCTGAAATAAGAAAACAGTCAGTCATAAACCTGAATGATGTACTCTTTGCCTTATTTCTGTTTCACATACATTTAGTAGATGTCCTTATGTATAAATGTAAGTGAGTGGGTAGGAATCTTTCAGCGCCATCATCAGTCTCCTCTGAAATCCTTCTATTTGGATGCATGCGTCTCTGCTATCACCTCTTCAGCTGGGCTGTTCACTTACAAAAGATGGATTTCATTCGTCCCAGGTGATTGATCACATGTCTCCAATTCTCAATTGCCTGACGAATGCTTCTCCTTTTCTTTCCCCTTTATCTCCTTCCCTGCCAGCCAAATAAGCCACTTAAAGCCCCGGGAGATACAGTATCTCATATGTGAAGTCTGTTGTCAGGCAGAATGAAAGGTGGTGGAGGCAACACACAATTGCTACAGACAGAAAGATAATTGCAGGAACTTGGGTGCTTTGTCTGAGCGAATGGCATGTCTGTGTTGATTCAGGTTCAAATCCTCACATATTTTATACACATTATTGGCTGTCCCTTTCCTCTAGGAGCTTTTATTTGATGCCTGATTTGGTGGCATGAGCACCATACGCACTCCTGTTCTTTGAACCACCCGTTCTGATGGTGGAGTTCCGCTTTTACACAATCTCAGCACCGCCAACTAAAGGTTAGCAGGCAACCAGCAGCCTCATTTGTACTGATTGATGAGCAGCTTCTGGCGATTGTGGCTGATTGATACAACCGAACAGAAAAAGAAAGGCATCGGCACACAAAGCCCCGCCCTACGTGATCCCTGAAATAAGGTTTCATATGGTTTGTTAATCACTGTGGGGAGACTGGTAGTGTGAAGCAGGGGGCTCTCGGCTAAATGTAATTTTAGTGATTTTTCTGCAGGGTTCCTCGGGAGACTAAATTGCTGTTCTAAAGGAAGCTTTTTATCATTTGTATGTGTCTACGCGCAGATTTGAAGCGTGCCTGTGCAATTTGTCTTAAATGAACAGTACGCACTCTATGCGCGTTTATAAGCTTACTCCAATGAGAATATCTGCTACGCCTCTACAGACCAATTACCACAAGCATTTTTTATCTTCTCTGATTTATCATGTCTCCTTTTCTACAGCCTCAACAGTGCATGCAACCACACTAAGTTGCTTGAGTGAAGGGTTTGCGTAGATGCGCTGCATTTGTGATTTACCAAGCATAAGAACTAAGCACAGAAAGAGCAGGGAGAGGGTGTAGTTATATTTACATCATCTTCATTTGGGACAATTTGAGAGTGGAAGATAAGGCGGGGGGGGCGGGGGGGAACAGAGTCAAGCAGCTTCGCTGTAAGTCTGCGTCTCTCTTCCAGCCGTACTTTTGAGACCACAGCACACAAATCACATGCAGAGTTGCTGACTGTTAACTGGGCGTGCCAGGATGCACAATTAATTCAAAGGTTATGTCAGGCCCTAGTGATCCTCTGCATCCAGACTGCAGGGCCTGATTCACCACACACTGCTGTTAATGGCTGCATACGTCAGTGGGGATTTGTGGCACTGGCAGCAATGGGGGCTCTCTCCATAATATATTGGAGGCATTGGGTCATTGGTTTTGTTTCCTGTCGCATTGTGCAGAGATGTTGGGGGGGGGGGGTTAGTTCTTTTTTTAGCTGTGCTCTCAGTTCAAGTGCACGCACTTTAGATGCAAATAAACTGAAGCACGTATTGAAGAATACCCTGAGTTGCCATTTTGTTTGATGCAAGCTACTTCCATGTGAGCTAAAATTGTGACATCAGCAGCTCAGAGGGACCACTGAAACCTCAAATGAAACATTATGACTATCACAACAGTTGCCAATTTGAACTCTGGTTGTAGACTTAGCAATATCCACATTTCTGGTAACACATCAAGCTAACAAATACTTCAAAACGCTTGAATTTTGGATAAAAAGATCCATCTTATCACTGGGCAAAAGGCAGGGTACAAACTAGACATGTCAGACACACTCATCATCCTATCACACTCCAACAACCAGAAGACATCTGTCCAGCTGTTAGCTGCCTGGGGAATTGGGTCGCCGTACATATATGGCCATTCCATCAAAGTGAATGCAAAGATTTCAAATAAAATGTGAAGCTTCAATTTGTTGCCTTTTAAATAATACATAACTTTATTCATAAAGTACCAAATGACATTATGATTTGCCTCGATGTGTCATCTATTGTAGGGTAAAGACCCTACAATAATACAGAGGAGCCACCAACAATCAGAAGACCCCCCATGAGCCATGACTTGGCGACAGTGGGAATGAAAAACGGCTTTTAAACAGGAAAGAAACCTCAAGCGAAACCAGAGATTAACAATAACTTTAAAATACCAGCATTATTATAGAAGAACCTTCTGTTTTAAGCACCAGGATGTGACTCTAGTAACTGTTAAAGTTAATACTCACTGGGTAGTATTTGTAGCTCTCATGTGCTCTGGTTCTCGAAAACGGACATTTGGGTCGTGTCACTGAAATAGTTTGCACTATTTGTGGCCTTACAATACATATTTATTTAAATCTGGGGTGAGAACAAATACAGTATCCTCTGCAATCTTCCATTCATCTAAAAGGGGGGGGGGAAAGCCCCTTCTGCAACCAGCCTTATAGCCCATTTTTGTAGACGTTAAAATGTTTGTGATTGGTCTGGCTAAAAATTACAGTAACTTGCTAGATGTATTTTTCCCAAGGTAAATAGTAAAAGGAAAATCCCACTTGAAAACATTTTGGATGATACTGCAGTGCTTTTTTCAAATAAGATGACAACTCCATCAGGACTACCTTGATGCATGCTTAATCATCCAGGTAAGGAAATACCACACAGTTGATTCTGTTCTGGACGTTGCGTTTTCAGCGGGAGAAATGTTTCATCACTCATCCAGTCTCAGTATCACTGAGTGATGAACTGTTTCTCCCAATGAAAACGCAACATCCAGAAGAACAGAATCGGCTTTCTGGGGTATCAGAACTACTGTTCGCTTTACACCGTTTCTGTCATCACCACACCCAGGCCTGCTAAGCCTTTTGCCTCCTTACCATGGGAACAAAAAAAGCCTGCAAGTTAAAAAGTCTCAGCTTTTTTTAATTAACTGACTCCCATTCAGTGTAAAGAGATATTTAATCACTCGAATGTATATTTATTGTGCTTCACTAGATCCCTGCATTGCAACAGTTAAAGACAATGCAGGGAATGGAAATAAAAAGATAGTAGGTGCATTAGTGATGTAAGTCAATGTCCCCCTAATTGATTTGATCCTTTCAGCAGCTTGATAGTACTGTAATTGATTTTGATCTTTAATTTATAGTTATTTCGCTAGAAAATAATCATCCATCCATTAAATTTATCTAATCATCATTCATTCCCAGAAATAAAACTGCTTTCTGTGCACACCACATAAGATGTTTTGTGATCCATTCGATCTATCTTTGCTGTCGTTTTTTGATCTACAAAAATTACTGATGCTTGTCTTTTCCTAAATCTAAAGTTCTCAGCAAACATGCCTCGCTCTGGCATGGTATACATCCATGCTGTGGATGTATGCTATGCCATACAGTATACAGTAAATGAGGGATGAAGAGGAAATGAGATTGGTTGTAGCTGCAGCCTGTAAATCCTGCGCTGCTGCTGCCTGTTCTGACTGGCATGGAGTGTCCAAGCATTTCCATCTTGTATTTATGTCTGGGGGCCAATCAGTTCATATCCCCGACACCGCCCACGCTGCCATTAACACAGAGTAATGCAGAGACCATCAAACATGCCTGAGCAACTTCACTCCACCACGTTGGCCCTAATGATTCCCCACCCTTGCTATTGATCTCTTGGGCGCTTGTTCAGCTGCTTTTACGGTAAAGTGAAAACGTGCAACCTTCAGTCTCCCATTTCAAAGCAAACTAAACCAAAAAAAAAGAGTCTTAATTAAGGCGCGAAAGTTGGAAGGCAAAATTCTTTTGCTGTTGTGTTTGAGGCAAAGGTTTTTAAAAGCCTTCACCATCTGCTTTGTGTGTGTGTGTGTGAGTACTTGCAGACTCTAGTTCACAAGAAACTGAGTATCCTTGAGGGAAAATGGCTTCACAAAAGCCTTTGAAATTCTCTGCAATGGAAAAAAAAACTACCTTGCTACTATCTTGCTTCAGTGAATCTAGGTAACACAGATACACTAAGATGCATGCATGCATCCATAAATGCACCTACATAGTTTTTCTGCTGACTCTCCCACAGACAAACGTACGCACACACACACACGAATGTACAGACCTTGTACAAACAGCCTCGCTGTTTTCCTATCAACGCCCTGGAGATCACAGGTCACCTCTCCCTGGTCGTGTCTCTCTGTGTTATTCAGGACAAGCATCCATCCGTCTTTCTTTTTTTCAGCCATCAGACTCGTGTTGGGGGATTGCAGGACACCATGTTTATTAGAGATAGTGAGCGCTACCTCACCATTCAGCAGCCAGATCATAGCAGTCCACTGGCTGTTAGAAGGAGTGCAGGTAAATCTGGCCTTTTCCCCTCTCAGGACCGTCAGGTTTTCTGGGAATAGTTTTATTTGAGCTTCAACTGCAAAAAAAACAGCATAAACAAAACATTGTCTGTAAGTTTATTTTACATCAAGTTTAATCTAGAAATCTGTCTGAAATTATCTTTGAGATAAGTCAAACAAAACAAATCCCCAGAGCATCACTTCTTACCACTGCTGTAGTACTTTTAAAGAAATATTTGAACATTTTGGGAAACAAACTTACTGGCTGTCTTGCTGAGAGTTACATGAGAAAATCTATCGTACTCAAACAGCAAGCAGCCGTGTAGCATAGCTTAACATAAGGGCTAAATTCATGGGGGAGCAAGTAGCTTCACTCAGTCCAAGAGCAAGAAAAATTGTCTGCTAAATATCTAAAGCATCACACACTGTGTATCATGTAATCCAAGAAATCGCTTTACTTTTTTTGCCTGATGCATATTGGCTGCTTCAGAGTTCACATACAGCATGATCACCCACTGGTAGTTCATTATTTAAAAGGGAGTCAATGAATTAGTCACCTAAAAATATTATTTTTCTTTTTTCATTTCATATTCAGGGGATAAACACAAGTTCAAGATGAAGACATTAAAACATTAAAGAATAAACAAAATAACCAGAAATGTGTCCATTCAGGTTGTCTGAAGAACAAAATCAAGAGTGACTCAAAATTAAACAATGATTTCAAAGTAATTGTTATGTTTTTTTGACACTTATGCTTTTCAATTTATTAACTGTAATGTCTAACCAGCAGCATCTCAAAGCATTTAGACATTCAGACATGGTCAAGATGACCTGCTGAAGTTCAAACTGAGCATCAAAATAAGGAGGAAAGTTGCTTTAAGTGACTTTGAATGTGGGATTGTTGTTGGTGTTAGAAAAGCTGGTCTGGGTATTTCAGAAACTGATTATCAGCTGGGACTTTCCCACACAAGTATCTCTAGGTTTACAAAGATTGGTCTGGAGAAGATAAATGTTAGCTAAGAACAGAAAACTGAGGCTACAATTCATATCGGCACACAAAAACTGGACAATAAAAGATCTCTCTGCTCTGATGTATCTGCAATCTTGTTCTTTTGGTCGCTACCCAACGCTCATGACCATACAGTAGGTGAGGGCAGGGACATAGATCGACGGGTAAATCGAGAACTTCGCTTTTACGCTCAGCTCTCTCTTCAACACAACGGACCGGTACAGCGTCTGCATCACTGCAGCCGCAGCACCAATCCGTCTGTCGATCGCCCTTCTTCCCTCACTCATGAACAAGATCCCGAGATACTAAAACTCTTCCACTTGGGGCAGGAACTCATCTCTGACCCAGAGTTGAGGATGATGGTCCCAGACTTGGAACTGCTGATTCTCATTCCCTCCCCTTCACACTCAGCTGTAAACTGCTGAAGTTCCACCACCTGATAAAGCCAACAGAACCACATCATCTGCAAAAAGCAGAGGAGATTCTGAGACTGCCCAAGTGGAAGCCTGCCGCTACTTGGCTACGCATAGAAATTCTGTCCATAAAAATCATGAACATTTCAGTGACACAGGGCAGCCAAGACGATTGGCCTACTTCTTCAGCCTAATGGCTCCCTTCACCCCCACCA